TGGGCAGACGACCAGGCTACTCAGCGGTCGTCTCAGGGTTACACCTTCAGCCTTGGTTCTGGCTCAGTTTCTTGGCGCTCTACACGTTCTTCTTCTGTTCTCAGCTCCAGTTGCGAGGCTGAGATCTACGCCACAGCCATGGCTGCCCAGGAGCTACGCTGGCTGACCTACCTGCTGACCGACCTGGGAGAGCGGCCTCGTTCTCCTCCAGTGCTGTACGTCGACAACAAGGCTGCCATTGCCTTGTGTGAGGAGCACAGACTGGAGCACAGAACGAAGCACATTGCCCTGCGGTACTTCCTTGCTCGAGAGCTACAGCAGCGCGGTCAGCTTTGTATTCGCTACGTGGCCACTGAGGCCAACACTGCTGACCATCAGCGCTTCTGCACTCTACTAGGCCTTGTGCCTACTGGACCTCACTTACTTACCTCTTGACCTTGCTTGTACTGTGATCACTATATATATATATATATCTACCTGCATGTTTACTCTTGCTAGGTTGTGATCACTGTATCTCTTGCTCTGTTATAAACCTGCATGTGAACTGGTCTTGTGACCACTAGCTTGTGCTCGGAATTTGTGTGGAATCCTTGAGATCCACCCTGAGCTTGTTGTTGCCTTGCTTTGCCTTGACTGGTCTTGTGACCCCTAGGTCTCTCCCACCTTGCCTATGGGGGTGTGTCAAACATTATATATGTTGTATTTGAGTAGGCTGTAGTGGGTTAGCCTATAGGGGGGTCACAACATTAGGGTTTCATATTTGTACTCACAATCCTTTCTAGTCCATCATTCCAGTCCGTTATTACTGACAATCTGAACGTGAACACAAGGCCGAACTTGTCATGTTGGTCCTGCCACGCAGTTGCACCTTAAATATCTGTGATTCATGTAATTGCGATCAAATCCTCATAGCATAAGTAAGAATCGCTTTTGTTACAACGCTGTTGAATCAGTGTAATTGAGGGAAAAAAGCCTGGAATTTAGTGTGGCCTAACAAAGAAGGCCTACAAACAAAAAAAAAAAAAAAAAAAAAAAAAAAACTCTGCTCTGATCAATTAGTGTAGGTAAAAAAATGACTGCCAAAATCAGGCATTTCATGTTTTTTTCCCCTGATATCTGAGGCCTTGTCCACCTGTGTCAGGAACCTCGATTAGTGCGCAAGGCGAAGCACGTTCCTTTGTGAGGCAGTGTGGCCAGCCACATATGTATCAGAATCTATAAACTTAGGTAACGTGGGATAGATAGGAGTAGCCATGGCGAGAGAAGCATGAGTAACATAAGGCACAAGACCATGAGCTTTTCAAAAGAGTGCTTCACTAAAGGGAATCGAGAGAGTAGACATAGGCAAGGCCAACATGAAATGAGGTACACCATCAAACAGGAAGTTACTGCAGCTACATTAGAACATACACCCGCTGATATAGGTGCTATTTTAGAACCTGCCACTGGTACTGCTGCGGCAGCGACTGCTGCTGCTACGCCATTGATATACCCCCATGACCAGCACCACTTCCAGCCACACCACCAGACCATGTACCTCCTACAGTATAAGCTCCGCTGTACGTACTAATGCCTCCACCCCCTCCACCTCTGCGACAACCCTTGCGACCTCGATGCCGACTAGAGGTAGCAACAGCTCCAGCCTTCATAAAGGTAGCGAGCTCATAAACAGAAGTCGAGGCAGTAGGGAAAGCAAGCATGGACAGGGTACACACTTAAAAAAACGGGGGGAAGAACAATACCACAACAGGTGGCTATACTGTAAAGGCGGGTTTTGATCCCAGTAAGATGTCTCTTATAGAGGTGGATAGTGAGGCTCATTGCCTGTACAGTGAGGAAGGCGTCGCAGTCAGGCGGGTGGATCACGAGGAAATACTGAGTCATATATATGGGGGAAAAGTCATCAGCAAAAAGTTGTGCTCACAATCGTCCGCTGCTAAAGCTGGTCATAAAAAAAACGCAGTGCACGATATTTGCCATGCCTTAGGGCATTCCGCCATGACAAAACAAGAATTTTGATATGTTTAAGATAGATTTTGCCATAGATAGGCTACGATTTTGTCACCAGCAGCCATGTCGTTCTACATCTAAAAAATATATACATATTAAAAAAAAAAAACAAAGAGAGAAAAGGATCATTTACAACAAGTCTATGGTCTTGGTCTTGATCACTGCATGACACTCAGAAAAACATCTCAGATGGAAGTGTCGTAAAAAAAAAACATTAAAATGCACGTTGAAAAAAATGCTAAATGTGAAAACAGTCTCCTTGCTTTTCCAATCATTAGAACCTCCTTGTTACCATCCTCCCATCTCTCCCTTCCACCTCCATGTTGCCTTTTCTTTTTCTCAAAGACCTCCTTGTTTTGTCACGCCAAATGAATCTAGGCATCTCGACACATTTCGCAACCTAAGCCTTCCCAACTTGACCACAATCAGTACGAGCACTAACCTTCTACTTCATTCCCCAGCTGCTCCACATTTATCTCGCCCCGTTCATTTCAAACCTTTTATTCACTCGTGTCATCCATTGGCCCCTACAATTGTTTCACGTGTGAAATTTGTCAAGTGTGCTGCTTTAGGCACATGCCTGTACTTACCTCTAGAAGCCATCCGAAAAAAGGTGTCGTCTTCGTATCGAATTGAAGAGAGACCACTACCAACCAGTTGTTATCTCAAGGCAATGTTCGATACAATAGTTTTGGACTTGAAAGTTGTAGTTATACTGTTGCAATGGTTAAACAACTTGTTTATTAAAGGGTAATTAAATATAGGAAATATTACAGGCCTCAAAATGAACATTGCATGTTTAAGTTTCATGTTGATATTAAATGTAACATATGAGAAGTGAAGATATGTGATTTTTGTTCTAATTATGATAATACACCCTTTAAAAATGGTCCATCTATAATTTTATTACACATTTTTGTACTCCAAATATAACCTAGTGGCTTGCGCACCATTTAAGGAGAAGTAGTTTCGAATTTTTGCTTTTGTACTCTTGTGTTTGTTCACAAGCTTGATTGGGGGAATAGAGGAGGCCCAAGTCAATTTGTGCCTTTAGATATTGAGATATTTTATCGAACACTTTTTGTTGAGAATTACGTGCGATCATGATGCCATGCCTGCACCCAACCCAACCTTAGCGAACGGGAAGTACGCCTCTCAGGCATTTCAATTGATCGAATTCTGTTATGAATAGTGATTTGAAGGACGCAGATCTCTTCAACTTCATGCAGACGTGGCAAAATCGGGAGAACTTTCTGGTCGATCAGGCGCATCCCCGGGATTGCGGATAACGCACGGGTAAAAGCATTTATTTCTACCGTTAGATTGCTGAATCCAACGGTTCTAATTTCCACATAGACCTAAACTCCAGCGTGGCGTGTGTAGCCGCTATGTGAGGTGTGCTTGCATCCGAAAATTGTCCACCACTCTATGCCTCCCATCTGGCATGCCCCCATCCACTCTCCTCCCATCGACCTTTCACAATCTCCCGCGCGAGCCACCACTGCCACAGCGACAGCCACCCTCCCTCCTCCATCCCCTTGTGACTCCCATTGTTCCGTTGGCACCTTGGAGTTGGAAACCCCAAGGCTGCTAGGAAACCCCAAGACCCGATTTTCCTTTCTAACAGACCCATCACGTTCCTGAGGCTATCTCCTGCCTCGATCCACTCCCAGCAGCCTTGCCTAAACGCCTGCAGCAATGGAGGCTGTTGCTAGGAACGTTGTGTCCTGTCCTTGCGTGGCGGCCGCTGCCAGGACTTCAGAGTCTTTCTCTGCTCGCAGCACCGTTGCTGCGTCAAAGACGACCCTCTTCGGCGGTGCTCGTCGCAATGCCCTCGTCGCCAAGGTGCCAGTGGCTGCTGGCAAGGCCACCAGGTCTGTCGTCACCATGGCAAAGTCTCCCGCCGCTGCCGGCTACGCAGCTGCCCTTATTGAGCTTGGCCAATCCACCAAGTCCCTGGAGGCCATCCACAAGGACGTGGAGACCCTTTCTGGACTGTTGAACAACGCCGAGCTCGCGAACTTCTTGGCAAGCCCCGTCGCTTCGGACGAGCAGAAGAAAGCAGTGATTAAGAACCTTGCATCTGATGCTGGCTTCAACGCCTATACCTCCAACTTCCTGAACGTCCTTGTTGACAAGAAGCGTCTGGCCATTTTCAAGGAGATCGCCGCAGTGTTCGAGGAGCTGTACTGCGACATCACCGATACTCAGGTCGCCATTGTCACTTCGGCCGTGAAGCTAGAGAACTCGCAGCAGGCCTTGATCGCGAAGAAGCTGCAGAGCATGACCGGGGCGAAGAACATCAAGCTTAAGAACGTGGTTGATTCGTCGCTGATCGCTGGCTTCATCGTGAAGTACGGCAAGGATGGCTCCCAACTCATTGACATGAGCGTGAAGGGTCAGTTGGATCGCCTTGCGCAGCAATTTGACCTGTCAGACAATGCCCTGTCGACTGTTTAGGGCCGTATTTGACGATGCTACTCTTTTTAATGTACGAAAGTTAATCGCAGGTATACCATTTGTTCGTAATTCTTGTTATCAGGTGATTGAGCAACCACCAAGTATAATACACAGCTGATGTTCCTCCGGGGCCCCAAGAAGCATTGCTTTTTCTGTTTATAGCTCTATGCCTTTACAGCTCAACTGATCCTGCTGGCTGGGGCTAGCTGGCTCCTCGAGAACAGATCTTCACCAGTAAGCACTCAGAGCCATCACAATCAGGTTAGGGCATGTGCCTATAGCCTCTTATCAGACAAACCTCGTCAGACTCGTGGTGCACTGCTTTGAGACGCACGCAATCCCATTCAATCGCTCCGGAAAGCATTGCATGAAGTCTGAGAAGAGATGCATCTGATACCGTAAGAGGCCATAGGAATATGCCCTTTCCATCAACTTCCCAACCTGACAGTCAGGTCAGAGGTGGACATTGAAAATGACATAACTACTTTCACCTGTAATCATTGCAATGAGAGGGCATCACATGGAGGGGTCTACATAAACTGGTCCACTATGACGTCTTTCAGCACCTCCATTCTAGCAATTACCGCTGGATTCATGAGCTTCTTGGCCTCATCAATCAGTGAGCTCTGCTGCCTGAGCTGCGCATAGTACGCATCGAGCACCTGCTCTATCACCTCCAAGAGCTTCTCCGGTGTCCTGTGAAGTAACAGCAACAGTGGGATGAAACAAGACACGGTAAGCAGAAAATGGTCAGTCACCATGACTTACTGACCAGGGCATACTGCTGGAAGGATATGAAAAGGAGCAAAGCTAGCCAGACTTATTATATGCTTACGTGTAGAGCATGTCCTCTGAGGCGTTTTGGACTTCGAGTTCCCCTCCGGGCGAGAATGCGTTGGTGAGCTCTGTGAGCTGCTGGCGGGGGTCGTCGATGGAGAGCACGTGGCGCAGAATGCGCACCTCCTTGGGCACGAGCATGCGCATGTTGATCTGCGCCTGCTTGTACAGATGGTACATGATGTCCTTCACCTGGTGGGGATGGGCGTGGTGTGGGTGAGAGGAAGGTTGGTACATCAAGGTACATGGCTTAAGGCATGCACATTTTGATCTGCACCTGCTTGTACAGATGGTAGAGAGGCAGAGGGATAAGTCAACGCATGGGATGGCACAGGTGACACATGATGTCCTTCAACTGCGAAAGAATGGGAAGGTGGGCCAGGCAGGCACATGGGAAAGGTGAACATGCAGCACACACCAACCTGATTAGAAGCACCACCTCTCCCACTCTCTCCTCGTCCATCCTCTTGTTATTCTCCTGAGCACAGCCCGCGCCTGTGGCGATCGGAACTCATAAGCATGCGTTGTCACTCTCCGCCACACCAGCTAATTCCCTCCTGCCCTTTTCTCCCCCCTCTCCCCCCACTTGCCCCACCTCACATCCTCCAATACATCACCACCGCTCACCTCGTCCTTCATCATGTTGCTCTCCTTAGCAGCAGCCCACGCTGTGGTGTGATCATGAGCATGAGTGTCGAGTCCAGCTGCTGCCATGTCTTCCCCGCTCAACCCACAGTCACTCTGTCACACCCAACCCCTCTCTCCATCTCACCTCGTCTTTCATCATGTTGCTCTCCTTGGCAGCAGCCCACGCCTTGGTGATCATGAGCATGAGCGTCGAGTCCAGCTGCTGCCGAGCCGCCAGCTGGTCAATCTTCCCGCACGCCTCTGCCAGGCTGGCGCTGCCCATGATGTCGTCGAACTTGGCCTGTGCTGCCTCCACTGCTGCTTCATCTGCCTCCACCTTGTCGTGGATATCGACTGCTGTGAGACATTTGGCTGCCAGGGATGCGATTTCTGCACAAGGAAAGAAAAAAGGGAAACAGAGAGGTACAGAAAGGTACAGAGAGATGGATCTTCCCGCACGCCTCTGCCAGGCTGGCGCTGCCCATGATGTCGTCGAACTTGGCCTGCGCTGCCTCCACCGCTGCTTCATCCGCCTCCACCTTGTCGTGAATGTCCACTGCTGTCATACACTTGGCTGCCAGGGAAGCGATCTCTGCATGGGGTGGGGAAAGGGAGGGCGTGTACATTCAGGTGGAGAGAGTGCCGAACTTGGCTTGTGCCACCTCCACTGCCACCTTGTCTGCCTCCACCTTGTCGTGAATGTCAACTGCTGTGACACACTTGGCTGCTAGAGACGCGATCTCTGCATGAGGCAATGGAAGATATGCACAGACACATTGAGAGAGATCAAGAGAGGTAGAGGGAGGTAGAGAGTCAAACTCGGTCTGTGCTGCCTCTATTGCCACCTCGTCTGCCTCCACCTTGTCGTGAACTGCTGTCACGCATGTGGCTTGGCTGCCACGGAAGCGATTTCTGCACGGGTTACGGAAAAGGACATGTACAAAGATGTGTAGACGCGAGGGAGAGGTGTCGGCTTGTGCCGCCTCCACTGCTGCCTCGTCTGCCTCCACCTTGTCGTGGCGCTGCCACACACTTGGCTGCCAGGAAAGCAATCTCTGCACCCAGGGATAAAGGTAGACAGGTGGCGACACGTATGGATAGGAAACGACGGGTGGAAAGGGTGGAGGGAGGTGGAGGCAGGTGGAGGGAGGTGGAGGGAGGTGGAGGCAGGTGGAGGGAGGTGGAGATCGGTAATGATCACGAACATCAGGTACGAGGTTGACACTCAGGCTGCAGGCTTCACACTCATGCCGCTTCATCTCGCCATCTCATCTCGCCGCTTCCCATCTCACCATCGTGCCGCTGCAGGTTATCATGGTTGGCAGGCATGGAACATGAGAGGCTCAAACATGAGAGGCTCAAACATGAGAGGCTCAAACATGAGAGGCTCAAACATGAGAGGCTCAAACATGAGAGGCTCAAACATGAGAGGCTCAAACATGAGAGGCTCAAACATGAGAGGCTCAAACATGAGAGGCTCAAACATGAGAGGCTCAAACATGAGAGGCTCAAACATGAGAGGCTCAAACATGAGAGGCTCAAACATGAGAGGCTCAAACATGAGAGGCTCAAACATGAGAGGCTCAAACATGAGCGGCTCAAACATGAGCGGCTCAAACATGAGCCTGACAAAGGATCTGCAGGTGCTCAACGAACTCCCCCGCGAAGTTCCTCGCTCAGTGCCCATCACTCTCTCTCATTCTTGTACTGCTCATCATATCAGCATGTTCCTCCCGTCTTGCTGCTGCGGGTTGGCACGGCTGGTCCGGGAAAGCACATGCAGATGCTCAAAGAACCCTTGCAGCCCCCTCGACCTGTACCCTTCCACCACGCACCATCTTGCCGCTGCGGGTTATCATGGTTGGCTTGGCAAAGAATCTGCAGATGCTCGAAGAACTCCCCTGTGAAGTCCCGCCTCCGCCTCGCCACCAGCCCCTCCAGTGCGCCGTCCGCCTCGTGCTCCTCCACGAGAGAGAATAATTCATTGTGTGCTGTCATTGAGTCATCCACCTGCGGGGGGAGGGAGGGGACGGGGGGGAGGGAGGGAAGGGAGGCGACAGAGAGGACAGAGAGCGGTCAGAGGTGAACGTGCCACCAGCCCCTCCAGTGCGCCCTCCGCCTCGTGCTCCTCCACCAATGATAAGAGCTCGTTGTGCGCTGTCATTGAGTCGTCCACCTGAGGGTGGGGTAAAGGGGATGGCAGCGGAGTGAGAGGAGTGGGAGGTCAGAGTGGCACTTGCGTTGCCAGCATGGCACTTGCGTTGCCAGCATGGCACGCTTTTAAAGCGCCAACGAAGTCGACCTCACCGCAATGCGCACAAAACCCTGAACTGAAAACCTTGGAAACACATTCCCCTGGGACCTAAACCCCTGAACCCCGCGCCCCTCACCTCCTTGAGCCTCCGCGCGAGCCGGTACAGCTCCGCGGCCTTGTCGGGCTTGCCCTGCTCCTCGAACTCGCGCGCGCGCAGCTTGGCGCGCGCGAAGAAGTGCGGGCGGATGCGCGCCCACTCGGCGCTGAAGGCGAGCAGCAGGCGCCACTGCGCGGGGTGGGGCTTCTCCACCCAGAACACGTCCACCAGCCGGTCGCACACGCGCGACATCTTAAAGCCCGCCTCCACCTCGGGATCCTCGTCGTCGTCCTCTTCTCCCCCTCCTCCTTCTCCTCCTTCTTTCTCTTCTCTCTCTTTTCCTCTTTCCCCTTCCTCTTGCCTCTGCTCCCCTGTCTCTGCATCCTTCTCCTGCTGATCTGCAACCTCCGCTTTCGCCTGGTTCGGCGCTTTCTCTTCCGCTACCTGCCCACCTGCATCTTTCCCCCCCTCTGCGCCCCTGCCTTCCTCTCTCTCCTTCTCCTGCGACGTTCGATCCTCGTCTGCTGCCGCTTGTAACGGTTTGGGGGTTTCTACACTCGTTACAGAGCCGGAATCGGAGAGAGCGCGTAGGCGATGTAGGGGAAACCGATGCGACGACGAGGTTGAACGGATGGGAGGGGACGGAGCGAGCGCGGCCAGGGAAATCCTTAGAGCGCCACTCAATAACGAGGATCGAGGCTCCCTTGACCGGCTGCTAACGTCACACGGGCCTAAATCGGGCAAGGCTAACGGTCGCTGAGGGGAACGTAAACGGAATCCGGATAGACGAAACCCAGGTACACATGGACTCATGCTGACGTGTACAGCGCCAGCTGGCCGAAGCTGCTGCATGCGTTCCCGGCTTCTACTGGAGGTCGCGATCGCGTGCGCTGCGCTGCGTGGCTGTGCTGGAGCCCGATTGGCCGAGAATCGTAGAGCGAAGTCTGTCGCCATCACTACGAAACGGAAAAGACGGAACAGGAAGTAAACGAAGAGGCAACAAGGGAAATAGTCCTATCGCGTCACACGTCGCGACTACGAATCCGTCGCGAAAGTGGCACGCGCAGCTGATGCGATGCGTGCAGCGGCGACGAGCGATTTGACGGCAGTCTCGAGTAATGTACGGAAGGAGCGGCGAGGCAGTTACAGCCGTCCAAGTGGATTTTGTGGAAGGTGGAATTGACGGAAGCTTGAGCAAGAAGCAAATGAATTCAGTCAAAGGCGGAGGGTCAACTGTTGAACGGAACATTTTCCAGTTTGGATGATCCCTCTGACGCTCACAACTCCGCTAGAAAAAACATTCGTGTGTATATGTTCATAAGCTTGATATCTTTTGTACAACAACGTAAATTCGAAAGAATATTGATTTCAATTCCATTCACTAAGTATCCAATGGCATAGAGAGCCTCCATTCAGTTTGGACACCGTACCTTGGTCAAACAAGCATTGACATGGTGATGCAAATACAAGCTAACCATTCTGAATGGGATTGAAGAAAACATTGCAGAGTAGAATCTAACCTAAAACGCAGTCAAACTTGAACTGGAAACCTATCTACAGGGGTAGAGAATTGAGGGCTGGAACCCAAGACAACACACCGAGGATGCAGTTGCTGCTCGCACGGAGCAGACAGGGCAATGCTTGCATGCCAGGCCGCTCAGCCGCATCAACTCAAAGGGAGGCCGCTGAGCACACCTACTCAATTAACCACTGCCAGCCAATGTCAGCCACACCGGTAAGACACCTTACCCCAGCAATGCTCGTTACACACGAAACTATTCCCCACTACCCTGACACGCCATTCTCCGCGCACTTTTCCTTAACCAGCGGTCACGATTCGCAGATGTAGATCACGACGTGCTGTGGTCGGTCGGATTCCCCTTCCACGGGGTTCCACGCGCTCTGCAAGGCGCAGTTGTTCTCAAGCGACGCCACCTTCCCGCCGCTCGTGTACCGCGCCAGCAGCTGACTGCTGCTTCCCCACAGCTGTTGCACCTGCGCGTGCCACGCGCCCCACTGCTGCTTCTGCTGCGCCGCCTTTCCGCTCTCCGCCTCTCCTCCCCCTTGCGCCTTCCCCCCGGCGGAGTTTTGGTACTCAAGCTCCGCCATCTCTCCGCCGCTGCTCAGCGCTGGCTCGCTGCGCGCCGATTGGCTTCGCTCCGATAGGCTGCTGCTCTGGCTGCTGAGCGTCGGAAGGCTCTCGCGCGCGCTTCGGCTGCCGAAATAGGAGCCGCTTAGGAGCTCGCTGGCAGCACGAGGCATCTTGGGAACGCTGATGGATGGAAGCGTCATGATTGGTCGAACGGACGAAGGGTTGAAGCGTTCGAGACGGTAATCAGTTAGAGACGAGGGGCTTGAAACAGGATAGTTATTGGGAGCGTATAGTTCCTCACGCGCCTGTAAAGAGGTCAGGGGAAGGGTGCGGGAGAGAGGAGGGGGGAATTTTGAGTTGAGGAATGGCGGCATTGAGGGTGGGATAGCGGACGCGAGTTCAACAATGGAGCTGTAGGATAGGACGCGAAAAGAACGCTTCAACATTGCGATGCACGAGTGAGAAGTGCGGGAGGACATCTCGTGAAGAATGACAACGTGAAACCAAGCCCCCTACATGCTCATGGAGAGAGACGCAATGAAATAGACGCAACGTGAGAGAGCATTGCAGCCTGTTACCTGATCACACGGAGATAACCCGAGCGTAATGGATGGCCTCAGGGCTGTCGAGCTGCTAGTGTCAGGTAGTTGATACTATGTGCTACGAGCAAAGCACCCCGGCATTTTCGTGCTCTGAACTCCGTAACTCCGTCCGTCTGTCCTCTCGTGCCTGGTTCCCTCGCTACTTCTCCCCTCGTATCGCTGCTGCGAAGCGTGTGAACTAGGAGCGGCACATAAGAATGTAGTAGCGGAGTGAGAGTGATGGAACTCGAAGCTCTGCTTGATTGATTGACAATTTGTCACCTCGACGTATGGTTGCTGATGGCCTCGATAATCCCGGTTGGTCCGTTTATGCAAAACCAGATTCCGTTGCATCTCTGTCAAGGGCCGTGCCCGAGTCACTCGCCAAGCCTGCCATGACGCGGCGCGGGGAGGGAGAAAGCGCAAGGCTGGGTGCGGAGGCAGGGGTTCGGTTGCCGAACCGAGGGATGGCTGTGTGCCTGTCACCGAAGTTTTGGCGGCGAGTATAGCCACCCTACCACAAGTTTGTCGCGTTCCTGTAAAACACGCACTCGCAGAAGTGCGACAAAGCGACATTGTCAACGACAGCGTTACCGCACGTACCAAGGAGTAGCTCACTTGTTCGTCAGTTCGGTTACGTGCAGAAAAGCAGATTTGGGCCGCAAAGCTAGGCTCGGATATTTTAGGCCTAGACCAAACCAAGCAAGTTTCGAACCATACAGTGCGAAGCGGTATCACCAGGCCAATATCAAGCCACCAATGACCACACACACAGTGCCTAAACCAGTGTGGCGCGGTGCGATCGGTCATCTCCGGCTCAGCACATTCTATAAGGACCTCTTATGTAACGCAATCCGCAAACCGTACATGACAACAGTGTAGTTAATGTTGTTAGATCACCCTGCTCAGCAAGTTCTAAACAAAATGACAAATTTATTGGCATGGCATTATAGTAAGAATGCTATAAACTGATTGCGTCCTAAGAAAACAAAAATGAGCAAAGCAATGTAACAAGTGCTGTTGAGGTTGTCCAACGTTAGCCCTTCCGCATGTTTCTGCCTGCCCGAAGCACTTCGTCTACCAATAGTAGCTGAGAAGCAATGATGGGGCTGCAAAACATTTTGGGGGACAACAAAGTGACACATAGCATGACATCTATTAGACATGCTAAATGATTTTCACCAATGACCGCAATTGTCTCTGATGGCAGTAAATGAACTGATGGGAAGCTGTGCAATTGAGTGAGCAAAAAACATGACTTGGTATGGCATTGACAAACGCAAGGTACACGTAGCAAGACATGCCATGATACAACGCGGCAATACCACTACGCCTCATGTGGGGCAGCATATCATACGCGGAGTTGATGAGTTGCTGCTTGACACTGTAGTTGTCGAACACGCCCTCCACGAGTGGGTCCATGGGCTCGCCAGTGGTGACATTCAGCCCCACCACGTTGCCCTTGGCATGCTCCGACTGCACCATACCATGCCGCGCCATCATGTGCCATGCCATCATGTGCCATGCCATCATGTGCCATGCCATCATGTGCCATGCCATCATGTGCCATGCCATCATGTGCCATGCCATCATGTGCCATACCATCATGTTCCATGCCATAACATGGCATGCAATAGACATGCCATGCCATGCCATGCCGTGCCGTGCCATGTCGAAACAAACAATGCCATCCATGGAGACTTTAATGTGCAGAACAGAGAAGCAGGAACGGGAGGCTTGCTAGGTTGAGATTAAGAGGACACCGGGGGGAGGGGTAGGAGGTCGGGGGAGAGAAGCAGCGATGGTGCAGCAGAGGCTCACAATCTCCGTGTAAGGCCCAGTCACAAGCAGCGGCAGTTGGCGATGACGTCACATGTCGTGTGCAGTGGGTGATGGCGTTACCATGCATGCACGCAAGCATGCCTCACCTGCAGCTGAGTGATCACGTCCTGTGTGTCCATCTCCGAGTTCTCCGCCAGCATGAGTGCATGCTCATCTCATGTCACCTGCACCTGCATGCAGTCAGAATATTATGCTCTAGCCTGTAGTGGGGTGCTCTATAGCGAGTACAACCCTTCTAGGGTTAGCTATTTGTACCACCATTGTTGCTAGTGCAACCCTCTCCTTTGCTTCATTCTCTCTTGCCTAGCTAGGTCAACCCTAGCTATGGCTCCTCATCGTGCTTACTATCTCGACATGCTATCAGAGCAGGACGATCCAGTTGGGTCGATCCTGTGGGTGGGCCCCACCACCTCAGTCTTCCGCTGCTCCTACTACTGTTTGTGTCGCACGCCCCGTGGCGTGCGACGGATTTTTCATCCCGCCGCGCGCACGGGGCGTGCGGCGGTTTTCCTACCCGCCGTGCGCCCCGGACGCGCGGCGGTTTCCTACCGTGGGGGACCCCCGCGCGCCCCCGATTTCCCGTCCCGCTGCCCTGGGGAGCCGCGCGCGACCCCCCGCTGCCCCGATTTCCCGTCGCCCGCGGCCCCCCGTTCCCGTCGCCCGCGGCCCCCCGTTCCCGTCGCCCGCGGCCCCCCGTTCCCGTCGCTCGCGGCCCCCCCCCGTTCCCGTCACTCACGACCCCCCGCTGCCCCTTCGCGGCGCCCTAAGGAGCCGCGCGCGGCCCCTCGCTGCCCCGTGGTGGCGTCCTGGGGGCCGCGCGCCGTCCCCCTCGCCGTCCCCCGCGCTCCTTCCCCCGTTCCGCCCGTTTTAGGGTTTGGGGGTGAGGAGTGTGGCCGTGGCGGCTATGGGGGTGTCGGTTGTGAGTTACTCCTCCTGCTCCTCCTCCTCCCTCGTCTCCCTCTGCTACAGCTGCCGCTGAGGGGGGTGGTGTGTGGGAGCCTAGGGTTTGGGGTTTAAGGGGGGTACCGTGGGAGTGGAGCTAGGGTTTGAAGCAGGGGGTGTGTGTCGAGGGGTGTGGGACTGTTGGGGGAGGTTGAGCGGAGGTTGCCGTCGTGTCGTACGCAGCGCCTGTACTCCGGGGCACTCATTCCCGGTAGCTCAGAGAGCCGGTTGCGCCGTCGCCTGTGGGTCCGTTGCTCCTGTCGCGCGTATTAGCCGCGGAGCCTGTTACTCCTGTACTCCGGGGCACTCATTCCCGGTAGCCACTGTGTCGCACCAGAGCCGTCTGTTGCCCGTGTGTCTGCAGCTTCAGTCGTCGCCTCCTAATCTACTCTCCTCTCGCCAGCCCTCCTCCTCCTCACTTACCCTCTGTGACTGCCTCTAGCTTTACTCATAATTGTGAACTTTAAACTATTCCTTCTTGAACTTGTGCTCAGAATGTGTGGTGACATCGTGATCCACCCTGAGCTTGTACTGCTTTGCTAGCTCTGCTGATTACACCCCACTTTGGCTATGGGGGTGTGTCAGAATATTATGCTCTAGCCTGCAGTGGGGTGCTCTATAGCGAGTACAACCCTTCTAGGGTTAGCTATTTGTACCACCATTGTTGCTAGTGCAACCCTCTCCTTTGCTTCATTCTCTCTTGCCTAGCTAGGTCAACCCTAGCTATGGCTCCTCATCGTGCTTACTATCTCGACACATGCATGCCTCACCTCACCTCCACATGCATGCATGCCTGCCTCACGTCCACATGCATGCATGCCTCACCTCCACATGCATGCATGCCTCACCTCACCTCCACATGCATGCATGCATGGCTCACCTCCACATGCATGCCTGCCTGCCTCACCTGCACATGCATGCATGCATCCCTCACCTGCAGCTGAATGATCACGTCCTGTGTGTCCAGCCCTGAGTTCTCCGCCAGCACTTTGGGCACCACCATCAGCGCCTCTGCAAACGCCTCCACGCCCAGCTGTGCTCTCTGTTGGGGGAGGGGAATGCGGGGAAGGGGGGATAGCCAGTTAAGCCATGCCAAGGGCACCACCATCAGCGCCTCTGCAAACGCCTCCACGCCCAGCTGTGCTCTCTGTTGGGGGAGGGGAAGGCGGGGAAGGGGGGATAGCCAGTTAAGCCATGCCAAGGGCACCACCATCAGCGCCTCTGCAAACGCCTCCACGCCCAGCTGTGCTCTCTGTTGGGGGAGGGGAAGGCGGGGAAGGGGGGATAGCCAGTTAAGCCATGCCAAGGGCACCACCATCAGCGCCTCTGCAAACGCCTCCACGCCCAGCTGTGCTCTCTGTTGGGGGAGGGGAAGGCGGGGAAGGGAGGATAGCCAGTTAAGCCATGCCAAGGGCACCACCATCAGCGCCTCTGCAAACGCCTCCACGCCCAGCTGTGCTCTCTGTTGGGGGAGGGGAAGGCGGGGAAGGGGGGATAGCCAGTTAAGCCATGCCAAGGGCACCACCATCAGCGCCTCTGCAAACGCCTCCACGCCCAGCTGTGCTCTCTGTTGGGGGAGGGGAAGGCGGGGAAGGGGGGATAGCCAGTTAAGCCATGCCAAGGGCACCACCATCAGCGCCTCTGCAAACGCCTCCACGCCCAGCTGTGCTCTCTGTTGGGGGAGGGGAAGGCGGGGAAGGGGGGATAGCCAGTTAAGCCATGCCAAGGGCACCACCATCAGCGCCTCTGCAAACGCCTCCACGCCCAGCTGTGCTCTCTGTTGGGGGAGGGGAAGGCGGGGAAGGGGGGATAGCCAGTTAAGCCATGCCAAGGGCACCACCATCAGCGCCTCTGCAAACGCCTCCACTCCCAGCTGGGCTCTCTGTTCGGGTCAAACGGAGGGGAGGGGGGAAATGGGAGGGGAGGGAGTTGGAAGAGAGGGGGGGATAGCCAGTTAAGCCATGCCGTGGGCACCACCATTAGCGCCTCTGCGAATGCCTCCACGCCCA